TTCACTCCTGCTCTAGAGTTTACTAACCTAAGGATTATTCCTCTAGGATACTCACAGATGAGACTCATCAGTGATACAAATAGCCACGTTCCTAATTTGGATAAATTGTATTCTTGCCCCATTAAATGAATAAATCTCTCATATAATTATTAGGCAAAAAACAGAGTTTTGGGGAAAAAATCATCATCTATTAAATTAGTTCATGAAAATAGGGGCTAATTATTTGAGTTGATTCTAAGTGATAACTCTTAATTTATGAATCTGTAAGTCCGTCTGTGCAATTACTGATTTTTGTTTTGTTTTACCATTTTTCCAGTCCTCTTCATTCTTTTGTGTAGATTTAAATCTCTGGTGGTCATCTTCTGCCTGAAAGACTTCCTTTAACATTTCTTATAGTACAGGTGTGTGGGTGGCAAATTCTTTCAGCTTTTGTGTGTCTGGAAAGGTCTTTATTTTGCCTTCATTTTTGAAAGATATTTTTGCTGGGTATAGAATTCTAGGTTGACAGATTTTTGTTTTTGTTTTCCTTTCAGTACTTTAAAGATGTTGCTCCACTGTCTTCTAGCTTACTCCCCTCTAAAACCCCTCCAACCTCACTGGGAGAAATTTTTCTTCTCTTTGTTTCTCTATAAGTAACTTATCTTTTTTCTCTGGCTGGTTTTAAGCTTTTTCTCTTTATTACTGGTTTTAAGCAGTTTGATTATGATGTGATTTAGCTTAATTTCCTTCATGTTTCCTGTGCTTAGGGCTCATTTAACTTTTTGCATCTATGGATTTATTTTTTCATTGACTTTGGAAAATTTGTGGCCGTTATTTCTTCTAATATTTTTTTCTGTCTCACTCCTGCACTCCTTCAGAGACTTTGATTACATGTATATCAGGCTCCTTGGAGTTCTCTCACAGCTCATTGATGCTCTGTTCATGTTTACGTCTTTTTTTTTTTTCTTTGTGTATTTCATTTTGGATAGTTTCTGTTGCTATGTCTTCAACTTCACTTATCTTTTTTTCTGCAGTGGCTAATCTGCTGTTATAAACTTAAAATATAAATCTATCGCAAAATAGGCGTATTTGGAGAATACATCACAGCTAAATTAGGTGCTGAATTTTTCTTTTAAATTTATTTATTTACGTATGTATGTATTTTGGGCTGCATTGGGTCTTTGTTGCTGCACGTGGACTTTCTCTAGTTGTGGTGAGTGGGGGCTACTCCTCATTGTGGTGCACGGGCTTCTCACTGCAGTGGCTTCTTGTTGCAGAGCACAGGCTCTAGGCATGCAGCTTCAGCAGTTGTGGCACTCGGGCTCAGTAGTTGTGGCTCGTGGGCTCTAGAGCACAGGCTCAGTAGTTGTGGCACATGGGCTTAGCTGCTCTGCGGCATGTGGGATCTTCCCAGACCAGGGCTCAAACCCATGTCCCCTGCATTGACAGGCTAGGTGCTGAATTTTTTTTCTTCTTTTTTTTTTTTTTTTTTTTTTTTTTGCGGTATGCGGGCCTCTCACTGCCGCGGCCTCTCCCGTTGTGGAGCACAGGCTCTGGATGCGCAGGCGCAGTGGCCATGGCTCATGGGCCCAGCCTCTCTGCGGCATGTGGGATCCTCCCGGACCAGGGCATGAACCCGTGTTCCCTGCATTGGCAGGGGGACTCTCAACCACTGCGCCACCAGGGAAGCCCGACTTACTTCTCTTATAGACCTTTTTCTTTTTTTTAAAAAAACTGAAGTATAGTTGATTTACAGTATTGTGTTTCTGGTGTACAGCAAATTGATTCAGCTACATTTTTTAAAATATTCTTTTCCATTTTGGTTTATTAGAAGATATTGAATATAGTCCCCTGTGCTATACAGTAGGACCTTGTTGTTTATCTGTTTTGTATGTAGTAGTTTATATCTGCTAATCCCAAACTCCTAATTTATCCCTGCCCTTTCCCCTTTGGTAACCATAAGTTTGTTTTCTATGTCTGTGAGTCTGTTTCTGTTTTCTAAATAAGTTCATTTGTGTCGTATTTTAGATTCCACATGTAAGTGATATCATGATATTTGTCTTTCCCTGTCTGACTTACTTCACTTAGTATGATAATCTCTAGGTCCATCCATGTGGCTGCAAAAGGCATTATTTCATTCTTCTTTTATGGCTGAGTAGTATTCCATTGTGTATATACCACATCTTCTTTATCCATTCATCTGTTGATGGACATTTAGGCTGTTTCCATGTCTTGGCTATTGTAAATAGTGCTGCTATGAACACTGGGGTGCATGTATCTTTTTGAATTAAGAGTTTTCTCTGGATATATGCCCAGGAGTGGGATTGCTAGATCATATGGTAGCTCTATTTTTACTTTTTTAAGGAACCTCCATACCGTTCTCCATAGTGGCTGCATCAATTTACATTCCCACCAACAGTGTAGGAGGGTTCCCTTTTTTCCACACCCTCTCCAGCGTTTATTACTTATTAATCTCTGATAGAGATGAATATTTTTTATTTTAAAGCAAAGGACCACTTTTTCCTCTGCCTCAAACTGGATTCTTCTTTGGGCTTTCATAGCTAAGCAGATGGTGCCATAATCTACCTTGTCTTCCAAATCAAAAGTCCTTTAAGGAACCCTTGGCCCCCATGTCCATCAACAAGTCTTATTACCTGTGCATCCAAAAGAGATCTCACCTCCATCCACTTCTCTGCATGTTTTATCACGTCCAGCTCCAAGCCACCATCCTCTCTTCCTTTAATGACAGCAGCAACCTCCTCAGTAGTTTTTGAACTTCCTTCTACATTTGTCCTGTTTTGATCTGTTCTTCCTGCAGCATCCACAAAACGACAACCAGGCCATGTCACTCCGCATTTTAAAACCTCTGTTGGCCTCCAATTAATTGCATTTTGAATGAAATCCAAACTCTTTTCTTGGCCTTCAAGATTCTTGGTCTGGGCCTGCCTCTCTACCATCAGCTTGGGCCATATTTTCCCTCTTTTGCTCTTTGGCCACAATCCACAGAACAATACATTTTACCTTGCAGTCTCATACAAGGGAGCCTATATACTGAGTTTCAATGAGTTTTAAGGTAGATAATCAGGATGCATCTTATAGCCTGTATATGATTCTGTAGAGTCATAAGGACATAAACATGTCATAGTTTCATTGGCAGTACTTCTTTTTAACGTTACATAAAATTGTGGTAAATCTTACAATTGATAGCAACTTAAACTTGATGGCTTATGGTATCTGAAACAAGTTTCCAACCATGGTGCTTACCTTTACTCTCCAAGGTACATTCTGATGTTTTCTAATGTATCCTGTTTATTCCATTTCATGGGATAAAACAAACCAAAAAAGTTTGACTTGACATCTTCACTCTTGAGTCACAGCTTGAAGTGTAAAAAACTGCTCTAGCCACTCAGGTCCTTTTTTGTTCCCCAAATGCACCAACCCCTTTCTTGCCTCAGGGTTTTTGCAGATGCTGTTCCCTCTGCCCTTTTCTGTTCTTTGCATGGCTGGCTCCTCATCATCCTGCAGATTTCAGTTTAAATGTCAGCTCTTCAGAGAAGCCCTCCTTGACTGCCCCATCTAAGTGAGTTCTTTTTCTCCCCCCTTATTCTTTTTCCCTAGGCCCCATTCGTTTCCTTCATAACACTTGTCACTGTTTGTAATCCTGCCCTTGTTTATTTTCTACTTGTCTGCACCAGAATGAAGGTGAGGCCAGATATGCTGTATCATGCCATAGTGTCTGCCATGTAGTATGTACTCAAAATATCCTTGTCAGCTGAATGAACGCTACTGGTTTAGAGCACCTCTGCCTTGGTGAAAATCTTTATATTTACTTCAAGATCTCCGTAGGGTTTCTGAATCTCAGCAGCTTTGGATTTAATTTTTTAAAAAGTCCCGACTTTGTCCTGGCTATTGTCCTGTATATGTGTGTTCGTGTCTTTCTTGGGAGAAGGCTTGGGGACGGGGGTGGGGCAGTGGTGGGCAGCCAGTTGGAGGGAACAGGAAAAGATTAAGAATGGGGAGGAAGGGCTTCCCTGGTGGTGCAGTGGTTGAGAGTCTGCCTGCCGATGCAGGGGACACGGGTTCGTGCCCCGGTCCGGGAAGATCCCACATGCTGCGGAGCGGCTGGGCCCGTGAGCTGTGGCCACTGAGCCTGCGCGTCCAGAGCCTGTGCTCTGCAACAGGAGAGGCCACAACAGTGAGAGGCCCGCGTACCGCAAAAAAAAAAAAAAAAGAATGGGGAGGAAGACAAATAAAGGAGAGTAAAACTTCATCCTATGTTTTTTTCCTTTCTTCCACTAGTCCCTAGTTTTAATCTGAATGTTAAATATGTATTTGTACAGGGTGTGATGTGTGGTCTAAATAGTTAATTGTTATTAATAGGCATTGTGTATTCCTGTAACTTTGCTTCTCCTGTTGGGTATGACTTGATTAATTCTTTGAAAAAAAGGTGCTGGGGCAGCTGCAACAGCGTTCTTGGCTTTTTTAGACAAATTGTGATTTTCTTTATTTGACCCATAGCATGTAGAATTGTATTTCACCCTATGAAAAATTTATAATCAACTTCTTACCTTTTAGGCACATAGAGATGAAATCCAACGCAAATTTGATGCCCTTCGAAACAGCTGTACTGTGAGTATTAACCGAAGATGATGAAAATAACATGAAACTAAAACTGAGAAGGAAAGGGGGACATCTCATTCTAATATCAGTGACTGATTTTTGATATAAACTTTCAAATTGAAGCAGTTAATGCGGTCAAACTGATTTGGAAGTTTCTGAGCCTCAGATAACTTCAGTGTCTTGTGTTCCTGCCAGTTTAAAAAAAATTAAACCATTCTTCGTGTTTGGGGAAGGCTTGTTGGAATGGTCAAAATAATTCTCACTGAAGAGCCACTAATAGATCTCAGTAGCTGCAACAAAAGTCCCATTGGAGCTCCCCTTCCTTCTCCAATCTAGAAGGTTCTGTCTGAGACTGGCCCCAGTTGGTAAGGGGCAGTTAGACATGTCAGGCTTCTCCACCCTACTGCCTCTACAGAGGGAAGACCAACAAGTTCTTCTCCTGGGGAATCTACAAGTGTTAACTTCCTAGCAGGCAAAATCTGGCTTCCTAACATGCAAATTCAGAATCTAGGACTCTTTGGGAGTCGTTATTTCTACTGAGAGAAGTCAATTCCAGGAGCAGATAAGCATCATTCATAGGTTATGTAATAGGGTAGGATCAGTGGAAACTCAGCGTCTTTTTGATCAGAGAGAGGGACTAAAATAGGCCCCTTTCAGAAGGGAGGGGTGTTGTCCTTATTCATGGTTCTACCTCCTTTCTTTGGTCCTTTCATTGCTCTGTTACCTCCTTAGGCAGTTCTCAGTCTGCTTGTCTCCATTTGTATTGTTTGCATCTGTAAATTTCCAGAAACACCCCTCCACCTCCTATAGGCATATTTTCTTTTCTTGTAATGAACTCCTTCTTTCCTCCTTACGTACTATAAACGGGACGTTAAGTCCTGGTATATGCTCCCCACCTCTTGCCCCCAACTTCATTTAGATATAAAATGCACACAACAAAGTACATGAAGTGCAACTAATATTAAGCATATAACTCAATGGATTTGTATGTGTATAGACAACTTGTGTAACCACAACAAAGATCAAGATACATAACTTTTCAGCTCCCAGAAGGTTCCCTCCTCTCCTCTTCCCATCAGCATCCTTTGCCCTAAGGGTAACCAGTATTCTGACCTCTGATACCACACCTTAGTTTTGCCTGTTCTTGAACTTCATATAAATGGAATCATAGAAGATGTGGTCTTTTGGGTTTAGCTTTTTTTGTTACTTAAATTGTCTCTGCAGTTCATCCATGTTGTTGCATCCATCAAGATTTTGTTATATTTTAATTACGGTGTCGTGTTTCCAGTGTGCGTATAGAACTGAAGTTTGTTTATCAGTTCTCCTGTTGATGGATGTTTGGGTTGTTTCTGGTAGGAATAAAGCTATTAGGAACATTCTTGTACAGGTCCTTTGATGGCTGTAAGGCCTTGTTTCTGATGAGCATATACCCAAGAGTGGAATAGCTAGGTCATGGGACGTGCCTCTGTTTCACTCTAGTAGGTACCTGGCAGATGGAATTTAGGTCTATTTCCTGTTGCCAGTGGCTGGATCTAGGGTGAGCCTGCCTTAGCATTATCTGTTGATTTCTTCCCTTCCTTGTTCCTCTACTCTTTTGCCTTACTTTTTAAATTTCTTATTATCTTGGTTTCTTATTTTACACAAGAGTTATTTGCTTATATTACATACATGCTCATAAATGATCACTGAATAAAATATAGATCATTTTAGGACTGTGTCTTTTTTTTTTAACATTACTATTTTTTCCTAAAATAAACTTGGATGCATTTTAAATGTGTACATCAGTAATCCTGTTCCATTCGTCTGGAGTTTTCTTTTCTCCTTTTTTCGTCTTTTTTTTTTAACACCTTTTTTTTTTTTTTACAGCTTAAGGGATAATCAGAGTACAATAACCTGATGAGTTTTGAAATGTGCGTATATTTGTGAAATCAGCAAAACAATCAAAATAACAAACATAGTCATCACCCTCAACAGTTTGCTTGTGTGCCTTTGTAATCCTCCCTCCCCCCCCATTTTTAAAATTGCAAGTGTAGTTTTAATGGAATATACCAATATGTAGAACAAATTTGGTTACTTTCGTATGTAACTTTTGTACTCTCTTTATCCCTCAAATTTGCTTTTTCTGGCACAGTGACTTCTAATCCTTCCTTTACTTACCCCTGGCATTCTGTGGAGAAGCCTTTGGGGGCCTCTCCCAGTGGGAGGGGGAACCCAAGAAAGTGATCCCCACCCACATTTCAACTAGGGCAGCTGGGTAGCTTGGGGGTCCAAACCACACGCTCTGGAGTCAGATAGACTGGTTCAGATTCTAAATTGGTCTCTTGGTAACCTATGTGATGTTACACTCCTGAGGCTCCATTTCTTTGTCCATGAAATGGGATGACATTGTATGTCCTCAATTCCAATACACCCTTGATTGTAAGATGCATAATTCATTTAATTACTGCTGTTTGCAGGGCTGGGTGAGGGAAGAGAGACAGCTGCTTAGTTGCAATATACATTCAGATTTTGGAAACAGTGAAACCTAGGAAACACTGAGTCATAGAATCTGAAACTTGGTAATAATACCTGGGGTTCCTGCAAGAATTAGATGGTGCATTGGTGTTTGTACAGGGCCTGGTCCACAGAATGCACTAATCAGTGTTGGTTGCTATTATCATTTTATTATATTGGATTTACCACAGAATCTTGTGTAGAAAACGGTCCTGCTCCTTAAAAAAGTTTGAAAACCACCACTTTAGAACAACACTTGGCAGCAATGGTAGATCTCAGTTATACTTTCGCAAGTTCAAAGGCTGCTTTATAGACACTTTAGGAGAGCGCAGTAAGATGTTCCTTTCTCGTTGGTGCTGTCCAGGATTGTCGCCGCTGGGAAATGTCATCTTTGTTACCGGTGGGAATTCCTATAATAGCTCAATCAATTGGAGCTCCCAGTTAGCAGCTTTTAATAAGCTCATGAGCAGTAAGATTTTCAAGCTCAGGCCATTTCTATATTTTGAAGAGATTTTAAAAAAGGATTTGATTCAATCTGGCACCTAAAACCCTACCTAAGTCTGTTTTGGAGAGGAGTTGGTGGGCCAACATATGACACGGTTTTAATTATGAATCAATCTGTCAGCTATAAGATTAAAAATAAATAATATGCAAATAGCTGCCTTCAAGAAGGAATGAGGCATTAAAATAGGATGTCAGCCCTGTGTCTTTTCAGCCCGATACTCATTGTCTGGCTGATGTCTTCACCCCCAGCATGCTCTTGGACATTTACCAGGTAACGTTCCCTCTGCTGGTTGCCCAGTCAGGTGTGAGAGGTAACATATGTATCTTGAAACCATGAGGTGTGCTTAAAAAGCAACAGATAACCTCAAATAGAGATCTTAAAAAAAATTTTCTTTTTGGACACTGAGAGTAGATAATTTTTTTGTATCCCTGTTTTCTGTTAGAATTGTACCAAGATGTCTTATCTGTAAAAACAGCACAGAAGAAAGCTCTGCTGGCCCTTGCATTATGAAGCTATCTCCCTCATCTTTTTTTTACCACTAAGATGGAATCAGCCTTGCAGTTTATCTTTCCTGCCTTCTATCCTTGGGGTTGAAAGCTTAAGAGACTCATAATACAGGAAACAGATCATTTACCCTTGGTGTGGAGAGAATATACCCACAAAGTAGACCTAAGAATTCTCTTTGCTTATAATCTAGTTCAAAATCACAGATAGCCCATTATTAGCCTTTTTTATTTTTTTTTTATTAACCACGGAGATCATTAATTTACTGCCTGTGTCTCAGGTCCGCCCAATATCTGTGTGTCTAATACTCTGGCAACTCCAACAGAGCCACAAGCTCAACGTGTTACGGCTTTTGGGCAGGAAGAACATACGAAACATCCGAATGCACTAACGTGCTTTGACGAGGCCTTGGCTGCTTCGTGCAAGCACCTAATCCTCCTCTTGTCAAACAGGCAACATAGAGATGATGACAGAATACAGGGCCAATCATCACAAAGTGTAAACGGAAGTCAGAGACCCCTTGAAAACAGGGTGACAACAGGAAAAAGAAGGACTCTTCCTACTCCAGTGGCCAGTCGAAATGAGAGTAGTAATCTGGGCACCTCCCTGACTTTTTTCGAGTGTTTCTTCTTTAGCACTTTATAATCTAATTTGGGGAGGAGGAGGAGAAGTGGCAGAAATGGGCTTATTATAAATTGCATTTGTTTTCATGAGTCAAAGAAAGGGAGTAGGTACCCAGAGTCTTAAATATGTCTTTGAATGACAAGTAAATTCTTTTGGCAGCATATATATTCTTATGTGGGTAGATTTTCTGTAGTCTGTTTGCTCCCCATGGGGCACCACTGATGCCTCATCTTGGTCATTAATTTTTACCCCGTGTATTGAATCACATGATGCGTTAAAGTAGAATAGCACTCAAGAAAAAGCCAAAACCTTAAAACCAGAGCAACAGAGGAGGTAGTCAATATAGTATTTCCCTCCGTGTCAGGTGGAGAAACCAACCCAGTCAAGTTCAAGGTGGCTTGTTTGGGGCTTCCAGAATCCATTTTATAGCACAGCTTCCAGGCCAGTTTGCTGCATCAGTCTTGTTGTTTTCCTTTGGGGACAGAGGTAGAAGGAAGCACAGTGGAGACATTTGCAGTCTAGGAGGAAAACCATCTTAAGGAATGGGTTTACTGCATTGTTTACTCATTGTTTCTGCTTTCGGGAGATTTAACCACGTCACACAAAGGGTGATACAGGGTTCCCAGTAAGGCAGAAGTGCCTGCTAGGATGGAAAGATTTGAAGTTTTTTTTTTTTTTTTTTTTTTTTTTTTAACCCTGATGAAGGAGGTTTAGCCAAGAACCTGACCAGATAACCTTTATTCCCCCTCTTGTAGCTGATAGCATTACACAAACCGTAGGAATTAACATGCCTTTTGATATTAAAATACAAATTACTAGACCACTTACTGCATTAAAAGCTCATCAGCACAGTTAACAAAATGAAAAGCTGTGGCCACATTGAACAGATCTACTTAATTGACGTTCTTTAATTCTATGTGCCTGGGAAGATTTTTTAATTGATAGTCAAAGTAGGTTAAAATAGGGAGTTAGTCATGGAAACAGTGGCAACATTTCAGAAACTAAGTCTACTCTGGGTTTGAAAATGGGAAACAATTAACCATAGGCTCAGAGGCATTTCCTTTTAATTGACTCCTTTTAGTTATGTAAGATTTAATTTACCGCCATTGCGCCTCATTCCAACTATTATTAGAAAATTGCCCTTAAACTTCTAAAGTATTATATATAAAAGCCCTTTGCAAGTGCTGGTACTAAACCTCAGCAAAGAGAACGGGAAAGCTAAATGCGCTGAAATTGAAATCATTCTGCCATTGAGCAGGGAAATCATTTAGTAAAACCAGATTAAATCTCTCTCAGTAAAATGACAATTTCATATACATGTCTTCCCACTTTCTGATAGCCAGCTGCATAATAAGAACCATTTAAAGTGATGCTGTCATACAGTATTGTATTTTCAGGATTATTCTGAGAGTCCCTTAAATTTTTTTTTTCCTTTTGTTGCATGAACTTAAATTTATTACCTAAAATATTATTAAAATAACTCTTAGTGTCCTTCACTCAGTCTTCCGTGATAAGCACTTTATTTTGCTTTCTAAGACTGTTTCCCAGGATAATGTCCTGTAGATGATGTCCTGGGCGTTTTAGCTTAATTAGCAGACTGTGATACCAGTCTCTCTACTATTCCTCTTTCCTCAGTTTGCATCTTCCACATTCTATTATTGTCCATGAACTTGATCTCATTTAAAGTTGCCCCTTCCATATGGCAGGCACATTTGATTGATTTGTTTTTACCATATTTTCCTGATGAATCCTGAGTCAGAAAAGAATCCGAGACATTTCTTGTTCTCCCACAGCATATGTGTGTTTGGGCGCTAAGGGGGTGGGTGTGGGAGGTTGAGTTTGGCTCACAGAGGTTGGATGGGCAAACGTGAGCTGCACACTGATAGTCATTATCATGTAGGTTCAAGTGCTGATGGCTCTAGAAGCAATTTCTCATTTCAGATCAACTTGATTGCTGCGTAACCGGATTCCTTTCCTCTTAGGTGATCACAGACCTGGAGGAGCAGCTAAACCAGCTGACGGAGGACAACGCTGAGCTCAACAACCAAAACTTCTACTTGTCCAAACAACTTGATGAGGCCTCTGGCGCCAGTGATGAGATCGTACAGCTGCGAAGTGAAGTAGACCATCTCCGCCGCGAGATCACGGAGAGGGAGATGCAGCTCACCAGCCAGAAGCAAGTAAGGATTGTAAACAACGTCAGAGACTTCCCCAGGAAACTTGGAACCCCTTTAGACTTTAGAGCAGGTGCCAGTTGCATCTCTCCCAAGGGTTCTCAGACTGAGCCTGTTCAGTAAAAGGGCTCTTTTTTTTTTTTTTTTTTGTGGTACGTGGGCCTCTCACTGTCGTGGCCTTTCCCGTTGCGGAGCACAGGCTCCGGACGCGCAGGCTCAGCGTCCTCCCGGACCGGGGCATGAACCCGTGTCCTCTGCATCGGCAGGCGGACTCTCAACCACTGCGCCACCAGGGAATCCCAAAGGGCTCTTTTTTATAATCATATCTGTGTTTTTTGTTTTTCGGTGTTTTTTTTCTTGCTGTACGCGGGCCTCTCACTGCTTTGGCCTCTCCTGTTGCGGGGCACAGGCTCCAGATGCGCAGGCTCAGCGGCCACGGCTCACGGGCCCAGCCGCTCCGCGGCATGTGGGATCCTCCCAGACTGGGGCATGAACCCGTGTCCTCTGCATCGGCAGGCGGACTCTCAACCACTGCACCACCAGGGAAGCCCATGTCTGTGTTTTGAAGGCTTGTGGGTTTTAAAAATGGCTTTTAGAAGTGTGTAGTTGGTTTTTTTTTTGTTTTTTGGCCGCTCCGCACAGCATGCAAGATCTTAGTTCCCCACCATCCCTGTGGAACCCGTGCCCCCTGCAGTGGAAGTGCAGAATCTTAACCACTGGACTGCCAGGGAAGTCCTGTGTGTGGTTGTTCTTGATTTTGATTTAAAACCATTAAAAATAGAATAGAATGCTTCTGTGAGCCACTTTACTTTTATGTATTTATTTAAAAAAAATTTTTTTTTTGGCTGCGTCGCATGGTCTATGAGATCTTATTTCCCCTACCGGGGATTGAACCCTGGCCCTTGGCAGTGAGAGCTCAGAGTCCTAACCACTGGACAGCCGGGGAATTCCCGAGCCACTTAATTGTTGAGTGTGGTCTCTTTTCCCTGGTCTTCCTCCTGGTTCTTTCTATAAGATGACGGCAGAAATGGCCCTTCATCCATTCTTGTCTGGTCCCCTCATTCTGTAGGAGAAAAAGATAGTGTCTTTCAGACCATAGTTAGAAACTCCTGCTTTTCTGAAACTGATCTGACAAAAGTAACATCTGGGAAATCCTCATTTGATACAAAGCATAACTCAGTGATACTGATTTGCAGACGATGGAAGCTCTGAAGACCACCTGCACAATGCTGGAGGAGCAGGTCATGGACCTGGAGGCCCTGAACGACGAGCTGCTGGAAAAAGAGCGGCAGTGGGAGGCCTGGAGGAGCGTCCTTGGTGACGAGAAGTCCCAGTTTGAGTGTCGGGTTCGAGAGTTACAGAGGATGCTGGACACTGAGAAGCAGAGCAGGTGGGACTTCCTGTTGGTAGAAAGCCAATGGCAGGTGACAGCAGCAGGATCCAGCTCAGAGCTACCAGCAGGGTAACCGATTGTCCCAGCTTGGCCAGGGCTGAGCAGTGTCCTGGGACATAAGACTTTCAGTGTTAAAACTGGGAGACTCTTGTGCAAACCAGAATGGGTCTGTCATCCTTGTTGTAAATACAGACAGTGCCATTTGGCAGTAGATGGTGACCACTTACCCCATGCAGGGCCCTGGGAGTCGACAGGGAGAATATCTCAGTGCTTTCTTTGTAGAAACTCTTTTCTCGGGTTTCTCATCATTGTGATCGTGTAGCAAGACCATCAGTGTTTCGATCCTGGTCATTTGTGACGCAAGTCTGCCTTCTACACCAACCTTGGCGTTATTGACAGCTCGAGCCGGATGATCCTTTGTTGCGGGCGCTCTTCTGTGCGCTGTAGGATGCCGAGCTGCATCCCTGGGCTTGCCCCACTAAACCCGAGCAGTGGCTCCCTCCTCCTGTTGTGACAACCCAAAACATCTCCACACAGTGCCCACTGTCCCCTTGGGGGCAAAATCACCCCCAGTTTGAGAACAACTGCTCTATAAGAACAGTTTGTGTTTTTTTTTTCCATTTCTTGGTAGGAAATAATTTCAGGTAGTATCTTTTCTCTGTGTTCCCACAGTCCTCCCAGCATAGAATTCCCTTCCTGCCGGGGTCACAGGTGTGAGGGTTGTGTACTGCATGCTGCCGGGGATGCTGTTTGCACTGAAGACGTCATAGATAAGAAGATTTATTATGACAGTTTAACAGCTCACGGCAGCAATGTTTGCGCTAACAAAATCAGTATATTATGACAGTTTACCAACAGATGGAAGTAAACAGTCTTAAAGAACATGTGCCTTTCTTAGTTTGTGCAGAGACACCTACGGACTGGTTTTCGCCCCGTGGCTTCATGTCTACCCAGCTGAATCCTGTCCCTCCCTGCATAACCTCGCTAATATCACCTTCCTCTGAAACTTGCCTTCCTGTGGTACTCTCAGCTCCATTTTTTTGGCTGCGTTGCGTCTTCATTGCTGCGCGCAGGCTTTCTCTAGCTGTGGCGAGTGGGGGCTACTCTTAGTTGCGGTACAGGGGCTTCTCATTGCGGTGGCTTCTCTTGTTGCGGAGCACAGGCTCTAGGCGCGTGGGCTTCAGTAGTTGCAGCGTGCGGGCTTCAGTAGTTGCAGTGCATGGGCTCAGTAGTTGCGGCACACAGGCTCTAGGGCACGCGGGCTTCAGTAGTTGTGGCTCGTGGGCTCTAGAGTGTAGGCTCAGTAGTTGTGGCGCACGGGCTTAGTTGCTCCGTGACATGTGGGATCTTCCCGGACCAGGGCTCGAACCCGTGTCCCCTGCATTGGCAGGCAGATTCCCAACCACTGCATCACCAGGGAAGTCCACTCTGAACTCTGTAAGCAAGATAAACTATACCTGGAAATATTTATCATTTATTAGGACTCTATCAGATTCATTTTAGTATTTCCCACATTTGCTTGATCATAAAGTAGACTCGTCACTGTCTTGGATGTATAATCTGTGCTAAATCAAACTAGAAAAGACTGGAAGCAAAGAGGACCTATAAGTTTCAAGAGAAACTGGTAAAAATATTCCCCTTTTAGATATCTTCCCATTCAGGGTTCTTGCTGATGTAAGGGGGCTGCTGGTTTAAGACCTCCTGTTGCAGTTTCCTTCCAAACTCTTGGGCTTCCCCGTCCTCACCATACGTTCTGGCTGCCCTCACACAGACCCCCCACTCCCTCCCACCTGCAAGTCCAGCTCTTATGCCAGCTGTTTCTAGAATCCTTCAGAGACAGTTTTGGGGACGGAATCTGACCATAGCATCAAGAAATTCACAATCACACGTGGAAGATGTAATCATGGGCTGTGCTTGGGAAGACATTTCATGTATACTTTCAGGGGCAATTGTGAAAGATCTTGGCTACCCACCCCCGTTTCTTTCCTCCCTCTGTTTTGGTATTATGTGAGACCTGAGATGAGTAAAATATAATTCTTAATTCTTGTCTTCAAGAGGCTAAGAGTCTAGTGGAGGAGGTAAACTATGCATTGAGCTATTTATCGCCTAAAATAGAGAGTGGGCTGTGCCAGGCAAGAAGTACCTTTATGCTTAGGGGACAACAAGGAGAGGTTGCTTCTGAGAGGGAAACTGGGAAAGGTTCTATGGTGAACATGGTCTTTGAGTTTACCCTTGAAGTCTGAGTAAGATTTGGATTTGTCAGGTGGGGAAGGAGAGCTGCCAGTGGAGGAGCCTGTACGAGCCCAGGTGTGGAAGCAGCAAATCATAAGACCTAAAGGGGGGAGGGGCAGTGATTTTTCTAGTTTGCTTCCAGTTTTTCTATTCTTTCACCTTATTTACAGATATTGATACATCCGTCAGGTTCAAGTTTCAGTTTCTTGAGGAGCACCCAGAACACTTCACCTCTTGCATGTACTTTAAGGAGAGGAAGTGTTTGCTCACATGGGGCCTCGCGTGGCCCTCTGCACCCTGTGTTCCTTCAGCAGGCCCTCATTCCCTTCCCGCTCCCGTAGGAGGGTGTGACAGTCTTGTGACGTCTTCTCCAACCCAGTTGCATTTGGAAGGATGCCTTAGCGCCTTCAGCCTTTCCAAGTGCATATATATTCACAGGAACTTTACCTGTGAAGAGTATTTTTACCCAGGGCCTAAAGTGGGTCACATCTTCACTCTGAACGTGGTCAGAAAACGAGACATAATTCAGAACAAGGGGTCGGGTTGGGCATCTCGCCAGCCCTCAGTCTGTTTGGTTGCTTAGCAGGGCCCGAGCTGGACCAGCTTCCTTCCTGCAGGGCAGCGATGGTGGGGCTTCTGAACGTGCCTGTGTTTCCCCGCAGGGCGAGGGCCGATCAGCGGATCACCGAGTCGCGCCAGGTGGTCGAGCTGGCAGTGAAGGAGCACAAGGCTGAGATTCTGGCCCTGCAGCAGGCTCTCAAGGAACAGAAGCTGAAGGCCGAGAGTCTCTCTGACAAGGTCAGCCCCTGTCCCTCCTGCCCTTTAGATACACGTGTGCACCTCCTTTTAGCAGGTATGCTTGACACACAGTCACATGCGATCAATGGTCAGCATGTTTCATAAATAGAGTTGCGCGATTATGCTTCCCTGTGGGCCGCCCTCTGTTGCCAGTAGCGTGGGTGAGGGGGGCAGGTACTAGGGTATCAAAGTCGGTCAGTGACTTCCTCACATCTGCCTGTCAGGGCCCCTGAAGTCGAGATTTTGATCTGGGTGCACAGTACTCTTGCTTTCTGGCATTTGATTTCTAGACGCCTTCATGGGTCTAATGTTGAACATCCCTGGGGAGTGGGGAGTGTTGAGGACTCATGCTCACCCCATTGCTGCAATGACAGGAAGCCTCAGCCTCTCTGGGTTCTAAGTCCAGGGACACGGTAGGATCTGAGGATGGTGCAGGTTCTCAGTGTTTCACGTTGGAAATACACGTTTTCTGTCCACCTAGCACTCTGTATTCTATATTTACAAAGTGATATACCAGTGTTTGGAGATTTTTATCTAATCTTAAAAGAGATTTCGAATAGGTGCTTCAATATTATAGATAGCAAAAGGTCCGAGGAATTTCATGTATATGCATAGCCTCATACATACACTCTTTTGCACACACACACATGCACGCACACACATAGCATAAAGTAGAAATCTAACCTCTGAATTTTGTGTAACTTTGTAATTTCATGATTATAAAAGTGATTATTTGGGGTCATTGTGGAAGATATAGAAACCACAGAAAAGTCAAGAAAAAAATGACTGGTAAGCTGTCATCACGGTTATCTTGGTGAATTTGTATATACATATGAATATTTATAAATTTAGGTTCTTACTATATAAACAGCTTTACATATTTTTTTAAACATCACATAACTAGGGTCTTTTCCTGAATTAGTGAGTCTTTTTTGAACATGTAGTTCTAGAAACATCAATTACACAGAGGCACCTATTTTTTATTTTTATTTTTTTTGCGGTACGCGGGCCTCTCACAGCTGCGGAGCACAGGCTCCGGACGCGCAGGCTCAGTGGCCACGGCTCACGGGCCCAGCTGCTCTGCGGCATGTGGGATCTTCCCGGACCAGGGCACAAACCTGTGTCCCCTGCATCGGCAGGCGGACTCTCAACCACTGCGCCACCAGGGAAGCCCGAGGCACCTATTGTAATGATTCCAGTTGTGTTGAAAATTTGAGCTTCTTCCATTTTTCTGTTTTTGCCATCATAAATAACACTGTGATGAACATAAATCTTCATGGACATCCGTGATTATTTTCTTACCAGAATTTCATAGAAATAATATGATCAGATTCAAGGCTAGAGCTTGTTACTCAGGAACCCTCCTGGTGTTGGCTTACTATTTTTTTAACCATTTTTTAACCATAAGGAAAGTAAATATATTATTTGACCATGAGGAAAGTAAATATATTATTTAGAGATAAATGAACCCTTTTGTGTTTAGCTTGAAGGATATTTTTTTTATCTGACTGTTCTTAAAGTATTCTGTAGTAAAGTCCTACCCATCCTTTAAGACTCTAGACATTCTGACCCCATCTTCTCTTGACGACTAGTCTTTCAGGATGAATTTCTCTTCTCCGTACCTCTTAAGAAAATCGTCACCTGACAAAGCAGTCACTATTTGTATATGTGTCTAGTTATGGCGCCACCCTCTGCCTTTGTGACTTGATGTAAGATCCTTGAGAGAGCTTGTCTATCCTTTCATCCAAAGCTCCTGATATTATCCTATGCGAGTAGTAAGCGTTCAGAATGTGATTATTTAATTCAGCCAAAGCATGTCAGATAAATAAATTCTTGAGAAGTCATCCTCCTAGAACTTGTCACTGCTCTACATATGACCCATCCCTTAGAAGTAATATTCTCTCCTCGTAGAATAACGCACATAAGGCTTATCTATGACATGGACATTTGTGATATACTTTTAAAAAACCAGTATTTATGTTCTGACCTTTAGAACTTGATTATTCTTTACCTGAGAAGGTTTGTGGATATTTGCAAAAGTTGTTAGCGTCTAACATTACTAAATGTGGTATCACAGCCAATTTTTTCCAATTGTCCAGCTCAGTGACCTGGAGAAGAAACACGCCATGCTTGAAATGAACGCCCGAAGTTTACAACAGAAGCTGGAGACGGAACGAGAGCTCAAACAAAGGCTTCTGGAAGAGGTGAGTGTAAAACGCCGGGTAAATAGAGCCGGGTGGACTCTCAAGTGAATATCTGTTGTCTTCAGGTGGGCAGATCCAAATTAAGGCATTCAGATTTCTAAGTGGAAATTTTCAAAGAAGAGTAAGGTGGTCACCGGATACTTCCTTTTTTTTTCTTTTTTTCTTTTTTAAAAAATTTTATTTCATTATATCTTTTTATTTTATTATTTATTTATGGCTGCGTTGGGTCTTCGTTGCTGCACATGGGCTTTCTCTAGTTGCGGCGAGCGGGGGCTACTCTTCGTTGTGGTGTGCAGGCTTCTCGTTGCGGGGGCTTCTCTTGTAGCGGAGCATGGGCTCTAGGTGTGCTGGCTTCAGTAGTTGTGGCTCGTGGGCTCTAGAGCACAGGCTCAGTAGTTATGGTGCATGGGCTTAGTTGCTCCGCGGCATGTGGGATCTTGCTAGACCAGGGCTCGAACCCGTGTCCCCTGCCTTGGCGCCACCAGGGAAGTCCCGGATACTTTCTTAAAGGTGTTTAACACGTTAAAAGAATGTGTCGCGAAGGCCGGGGTCCTCTTTGTCATTGTGTCCTCCCAAATGGTGCTTAGTGGCGTGTCAAGCACACAGCGAGTCTGTGCCAAGTGGAAGTTTATTAAATATGCAGGCACATGGATATTGAGTTAAATTCTTCTTTAGAGTTTATGTCCAAAGTACATGAAGTTTGCAGGCTGATAGGACAACCATGTAATTAGATTTGTGCACGGGGCAATGACCTGATCAGATTACACTGAGTGCCAAGTCTCATGAAGGCTTTTGAACATCCAGTTAATTCAGTTTAAAAAAAATGATGCCCTGCTTTTGAGACACAAAACGAAAAGCTCAAATTGGTCTCCTAAACCAATCCATTCCTTATGTTATTTCCTGTACCTTTTAACAGAATTCTGAAAATCTCTGTTTAAACTGATGACAACTTCCCACTCCCAACCAGAGCCCTGGTTTGGTTGAATCACTGATAATTCGGCTTTGTTCATTAGAATTGACCTATCAGGACAAATGCACTTTATAAAGATATTTCATGAGAAGTGGGACTCCAGGAGTGTTCTGTTTAAGCCATAGTGAACCCTGACGGTTGAATTAGCCAGATTATCTATTCTGGTGAATTGAGGTTTTATTGTGTGCTACCTGTAGCCCCTGAGGGGCTCTGCTGGTAGAAATATTACGACTATGCTATTAAGTTCGAAAAGTGTGGTGAAAATTTTGCAGGTGAATGTAAAATGTTTTATAGAATGAGGCTTTAAAAAATATGGGTGGGAGTTTCGGAAAGTTCTGGAGATGGATGATGGTGATGTACAACCATGTGAATGCACTTAATGCCACAGAACTGTGCAATTTAAAATGATTAAAGTGGTAAATTTTATGTATATTTTACCACAACAAAAAGTTTTTAAATAAAATCAATTACACACACACACACACACACACACATACACACACACAAACACAAACATACACACACGTGGGTGGGAAATTCACCAAAGGTGACACTAAGAACATTATAATAGAAATTGACAAATCACCCCGGTGGTCAGATAGAGAATGATGGTCTTTTATCTGGAATGAATAGGCAACACCCCCACTTGAGGCACCTGTTGGAACAGGAGGAACAGAAATAATCAGTGATCTCACCTGTCCTCTTTTCCTTTCAAGGAAGGAGCGCTGGCCCCAACAGCTCAGTGCTTTGGTCCGAGGTTACATGGTGAGTCAGTGGCAGGGCTAGGAAGAGCAGGCTGGAATCCTGATTCAGTTCCCTTGTTCTCACTTCTAAAACTACCTGGGAACGTTTCCAGTTCTCCATTCTGCACCTCACAGAGGGCTTTTTGAGCAGATGTCTGTCTGGCTGCCATTGAATGGGAGGCAGATCTCACTGACAGCCGAAACCATTACGGAACTAAGAACAATCTTTATTGTCCGGAACGCAGCTGGCATGCTGGCTTGTGATGGGCCCTCTGTAAGCAGGAGACCGGGGGCTCAGCCTGGCTGTCCCCTCCATCAGGTGCAGATTCTTGTAAATGGGGTCAGAATCAGTGTCTCAGAGTTGGAAAGAATTTTTGTGTGTCATTTAGTGCAAATTCCCAGCACTTGCATTGCTGTTCCCTTTATTATCTCTGTCCTGGGCACTAACGGATCTTTCTCCTAGATCTTTTCCAGAATGGAAACCAGAAATGGCCTCAGAAGCTTTTCTCACACTGCCCTTTACAGGCAGGATTAGTCTCTTGGAAGTGATGCCAGAGCTCAGAGTCCACTTGCTAATCCTGTCGAGTTAATCCCCCTCCAAGGTAGAGAGTCCCTTCCCCAGCCCTCCTCATAGGTGGGCCTCGGTGAACCTTGGTCTCAGTATCAAAATTTAGAGTGACTTTAGACATCCCAGCTCATTTTTCTGGCACCTGTAACTCTTGGAAAGTCCTTTCTTATTGTAAACTAAAGCCTATAACTTCCAACCATTGGTTCTGTTACATCGAAACATTTGAAAACAGGGTGTAGTCTCATATTTCCAACCAAAGTAGGAGGTTAATATTGATTAATGATCAAATCACTTTGACTAGTAATCAAAATAACTAATGTTTAATTAGCACGTACTATGTGCCAGGTGCCTTTCTGAGTATTTTCCATGAATTAACTCCTATAGTCCTTGTGACACTTCTGTGAGAGAACTACTACTCTTTATCATCTCTGTGACAGCTGATTCGATATCTCTGTAGCTTTCCCACTCCATGTTGCCTTCTCTTTTCTAAATGGAACACTTGAAGTCCTTCCATGTTTGGGATGTTCTTTTCTGGTAGATTTATCTTTCCGAAGAGAGTTTCTAGAAGCCCCTGTGGTTTGAACAGCACAGAATAGTGGGCTATCTCCACTTCCATTCTGGGCTCTGAATATCTCTGCCAATGACCCAAGCTCTTTGTGTGGCTTTAGCACACTGCCGACACCCATCGATCTGTTAAATCACCACTAGCCCTTCTACAAGTTTTTTTTTTTTTTTTTTTTTTAAACATCTTTCTTTATTCAGTTGATGTTTTAAAAAAATACCATCCTATTAAACCTTCTCTTGTTGGTTTTGATCCATCTTCCCAGCCACCAGAGTTGTTTCATGCTCTGGTTCTGTCATCTAGTTCCTTTGTGCTTCCTCCCAGTTTCCTGTCACCCTCATAAAATTGGGGGACAGATCTAAGAACATGGCTAGAGCCCTCTTTTCACTCTAACACTGACTGGGAACAGCCTCCATTTACCTCTCTTTGGGAAGCAGGTTAATGGTTTTGTAAAACATTTCATTGAGCATAAATGTCACTCTTGTTTTCTATTGTAGTAAATAAGTAGCCTATTTCCTGGAAAGCTAATGGACAGTTGATGTGTTGATTCTAGAGAAATATTTTGGGCCTGGCTGTCACCAAACAGATTCTTGTCCCTAGCACTTGTTTCTCTGCTTCCTGCCTAGTAATTAGTGTTGTCCTAAAATAGTGGAGAGAAACTAAAGTGGATAATTTGCAAGAAGTAATCATTTGTGCTACAGGGGACAGATAGCTCCCTGGAGGAGGTTATCTTAGCTGTTTTCTCTCTTTCTTTCCCTGTATTTTAGGGGGTTCTGTGGTTTGATTCAGAAATTCCAGGTCACGCACACAGGGCAGGTGATCATAAGTTAGTATCCTGCTTTACGGGGGACTGATGGGGAGAGGCTGTCGGAGTAGGTTCGGGCAGGAAAGGAAGATGGAAAGGTGAGGGGGGCGCACCTGAACGGGATGGAGGGAAGAAAGACGGACGAAGGAGGCAGCGCTAAGATTCATAGAGCATGTGCTCTATGCTGGGCACTGTGCTCGGTGTGTCAGCCAGTGAAGGGAGTTATTACCCCCACTTACAGACGAAGAGACTGAGGGTCTGAGAGGCAGTGAGCTGCCCCTGGTCACAGGACTAATAAGAGTTAAAGTCAGGATTTGAACCAGGGTCTGGAATGTTCTAAAGCCCAGGTTCTTTTCCATGACACCATGATGCCTCAGGGAATCAGCTGCCTCTCAAGAGGTGAGGAGTAGAAATGGAAAGACAAGCATCGGTGGAGGGAAGAGAAATAAGGTAGCAAGGTTTCAGCAGATTGCGAGGTCATCAGTAGCCTTTGGCCGTCTGGGGCGTGGGCCACCGAGGTTTGCCCTCGCCTGCTGGGAAACTCCCCTTGCTGCTGGTTATAGCTCTGTACCAGCCCTCTGTCCTTAAGGCCGCAGAGGCTCTAGGCCACCAGGGAAGGGAGTATTTGGGCCACTGGTGGTGTGGTTAGATTGGACCCAAGGGGTTGGGTGAAATCAAGCAGCATCTTGTCCGGATAGCTGCTCTTTCCTGCTTTTTAGAAACAGAAACATTTTAGGAAAGAGAGTCATAAACCCAGTATCTTTATAGCCTGCTCTGTTTTCTGGTTGACTTCCATTGTAAAAAAAAATTGGAGATTTCCAGCACAAAGCGATTTCCAATGTCCTAAATAGAATTTTGTTTTCCTTGGGTTTTACCAACACTTGTACTGAACCTTGGATCTTCCTTCCTCCCCACGTGGTAGAAATATCTCCTGCGACTGTGGCTACTGGTGTGCTTGTTGGTCCCACACCCTGACGAGGTGCTGTTTGAGTTAGAGGTGCTATGACCCTTTGTTTTTTTTTTTAAATCAATTTATTTATTTGTTTTTATTTTTGGCTGCGTTGGGTCTTCGTTGCTGTGCGTGGGCTTTCTCTAGTTGTGGTGGGTGGGGGCTACTGTGTTGCCATGCGCGGGCTTCTCATTGTGGTGGCTTCTCTTGTTGCGGAGCACAGGCTTTAGGCGCATGGGCTCAGTAGTTGTGGCGCACGGGCTTAGTTGCTCCGCGGCATGTGGGATGTTCCCAGACCAGGGATCGAACCCATGTCCCCTGCATTGGCAGGCGGATTCTTACCCACCGTGCCACCAGGGAAGCCCTGACTCCCCTTTGTATATTCCACACGGGGAATCACAAAGTGAGTTCTCTTAACAGCAATTGAGATCTTACAAAAAAAAAAAAAATAAGGACAAATCAGAACGTGGCTGTCATGGCATTAAGTCGTACTGCCTTAGATGTCAACTCAGATGGCCCGTACTATGAAGTACCTAAATACCCTTAACTGCAACTCTGATTGGGAAGGCAGACCCACCAGTCTGGACTTCTTGTTGTGGTGGGCACCCTGTGAGTGGCTGGCCATCAGAGATTTCTGTGCAAGTTCTTTTTAACTGCACATGCATCATTTTGGAATAGCAGACAGTTGGTCATTCCGGAATGAGCCGAGCTTTTGGTGCCATGTCTGAAATTAGTTTGTAATAGGGACAGTGAGGGAGCACGTTGCTTTGTGTGTGGTATGAAGCCTCTCCTGCCTCTCTCCCCACCAGCAAGCCAAGTTACAGCAGCAGATGGACATGCAAAAGAGCCACATTTTCCGTCTGACTCAAGGGCTACAAGAAGCTCTAGATCGGGCTGATCTGCTGAAGACAGAAAGGAGTGATCTGGAGTATCAGCTAGAGAACATTCAGGTGAGAACTGGCAAAGGGAACTTAAAGCGTCTGCAGAAGCAAAGCATGATGGCTAAAGGCCATCTCTCTGGTCAAACGGGCAGTATCTTCACGTTGTGTGTTTTTCCCAGTATTCTATTATGAAAACTTTCTAACGTTCAGAGAAGCTGGGAAATTTCTATCACGACCACCCTCTAGATTCTCCTACTTGCCATTTGCTATTTTTTGCTTTTTCGCATATCTGTCCGTACTTCAGTCCATCTTTTTTGGGGGGATGGTGGGCAGTAAGATCAGAACTAAGTAAATAAAGATTGGCCCAGTGCGGCTTGGGTTGAATTTTTCGTATGTTAATATTGTAACAACTTTATTTTTTATTTTCTTAAAGTACCGAGTTTAAAAGTATACTTCTTTCGGTGTCTGAGGTGCTTTCGTTTTCACAAATTTTAGGTTCTCTATTCTCATGAAAAGGTGAAAATGGAAGGCACTATTTCTCAACAAACCAAACTCATCGATTTTCTGCAAGCCAAAATGGACCAACCTGCTAAAAAGAAAAAGGTGGGTCAGAGGGTTTGAAAAGCGGGGAAGTGACAGTTTTGCTCAATCGTGGTGATTCTCTAAAGACCACTGGGATAGATAATCCTAGGAACATCAGAGAAAACAAAATGCATCTTGTTTTGTTTGGGGTTGAAAAAGAGGCTTTGGGATCATCAGAATAGCTCTTCAAGAGAAGCGATCACTCTCGAGTCTGTAATACACTATTTTGTGTTCATGGCCTTTAAAGTTGTCATGCCTTCCTCTGTGAAGGCAGTGATAGTTTTTTCCCAGGCAGCTGGGGTGGGGAAGGTAGCAGAGAGGAAGGTTTATACTCAGGTTGGCGTCCTGGACTCCAGAGGGGTTCCCTGCTCACATGTACAGGACTCTGGAGAGATTACAGGTCACTTGTATGGGATTCTAGACAGAGAGGGGTTCTTAGGTCATGGGGATAGGATTCCAGAGGTTTTAATATGTCATCTGTATGGGGCCGTAGAAGGATTCTCAGGTCACGTGTACGGGACTCCAGAAAAACTAGCCATCATCTGCTCAGTCCTTCTGATTGGCTCAAGAAGAGACTGGGACGCAGAGAGCTGACGTGACCTGCCCAAAGTGTCTGACTGGATAGCTGTCCCTTCCACGGGGTGCGGCTCCATCTCTTTAAAATTGTAACATATAAATTGAAAACAATGACCAAAAGAAACAGATGGACAGGGTGATATATAGGCACACATGGGAAGATTTTTAATAAGCCCAAAGCATGCTTCCCTGAACCACTGAAGGCTTGGTCATGTGTTCTCAGTTCCAGAAGGTCTCTAAGGAGCTTGAAGCTTCTTCCCAAGGCACCCAGATGCCGGAGTAGCACTGGCGGTGGTACAGGGAAGGCCTCCGATGACAGGATACTGGGGAGTGGGCTGAAGGCGGCGGCCGGTCTCTTGGTCCCTTTGTTCTCTTTACGGGAAGGGACCAGAGCAGCAGTGGTGGTTGTGGAGGAGGGTTTCCTTGTGAGCTATGTGACCGTGCCTGTTGGTGCTGATGAGACTGAATCTAGTTTATTTTATCAGTGGACTGTTATCTGAGTTTGTCACTTGATGTAGTCAGAGTGCTTCCGTGTATTTTTTTGTTAGTTTTCACTCCCATTACCCTACGTTATACTTTTCTTTCCCATGCACAATACATGTTCCATTTGCATGTTTTTTGCATAAGCCCCTTGTGGTGACATTATTTTAGTATTCCTTTTTTTTTTTCTTTTTTTGCTTCCTTTAAAAAAAATAATACTCATCTCTGTGTCTTGTAACTAAGCATCATGAGACAAATTCAAGGCAAGAGTGATTTCTGTCTCCTGATTCCATCCTCCACTTCCATTTTTTGAGGGTAAAGGCTCAGGAAATGGCTCTCCTTCTTGGGAATGCTAAAGGAAGAGGTGGTGGCAATTCAAGCATCTCTGACCCTCTCGGTGAAAACTTCCACGCCCCTATTTTTTTTCCAGCCGGCTGGGAGGGGCTGTGGCTCGGTCCCCCCCTCCCCCTTCACATGCCATTTTTACTAAACCCGCTTGCAGTGAGTATGCGCCCGGCTCCCGTGGTCTGCTCCTCCCAAGGCAGAGCTCCTTTCACTAGTTCCCAGTGCCAATTTCCAGGAGTTAGGAGATATCTCTGTTTCCATTGCTAGGGTTTATTTAGTCGACGGAAAGAGGACCCTGCTTTGCCCACACAGGTTCCTCTGCAGTACAATGAGCTGAAGGTGGCTCTGGAGAAGGAGAAAGCTCGCTGCGCGGAGCTCGAGGAAGCCCTGCAGAAGACCCGCATCGAGCTCCGCTCCGCCCGGGAGGAAGGTACGGACACCCTTGACGCCAAGTGCGGTGGATGAGGCAGAGGACCAATCTCAAGGAGATTGGCCGAGACTAGTTCAGCCTCGTGGTGACAGCCCAGACATCCCACGTCTGAACGATTCACGGCATCCTCGGCATTGCCGATGGGGCACCCTGTGTGTCCTTTTGGTCTTGGGCCTTTGATAGCCAGCCCCCGGGGCGGTCCACTTGGTTGGGGCTTCTAGGGGACCCTGCTAACCTAAAGGCGTTGGACCCGTCTCTCCCCAGCTGCCCACCGGAAAGCCGCAGACCACCCGCACCCGTCCACGCCGGCCACCGCCAGGCAGCAGATCGCCATGTCCGCCATCGTGCGGTCGCCCGAGCACCAGCCCAGCGCCCTGAGCCTGCTCGCCCCGCCGTCCAGCCGCAGGAAGGAGTCTTCGACTCCAGAGGGTATGTCCTCAAAAGGGGCCACTGAACATGCATCGACATTTTTTTAAATGGACTGAGAAATGCAGACCTAAGGTGAAAGTGACAAGTAATAACACTAAAGGTTAAAGAGTAAGAAGTAAGCCTTCTCCCCACCCTGGTTCCCTTACCCAGAGTCAACCATTGTGCTCTTCCAGCCATCGTTCATGCACGTAACTGCATGTCTGTATTATGCAGGTGTCTTATATAATCATCTTTAAGAGGCAGGAGAAAATAACATATTTTTCTCAGTCCTTTTGTCTTTCTTAAATATCGTAGCCCACTATGCTCTACACCAGGGGTCTCCAACCCCTGGGCCGTGGACTGGTACCGGTCTGTGGCCTGTTAGGAACCGGGCGCACAGCAGGTGAGAGGCGGGCGAGCAAGCGAAGCGTCATCCCCACTCCCCATCGCTCGCGTTACCACCCAAACCATCCCCCCCCCCACACACACACACCCCGCACTGGTCCCTGGAAGAATCGTCTTCCACGAAACCGGTCCCTGGTGCCAAAAAGGTTGGGGGCCGCTGCTATACACTGCAGAACATTTCTTCTTTTAGTTAAAATGCTATCTTAGCCAGTTGCATATTAACACATATGGATCGACCCCGTCCTTCTAGAGGGCTGCATGGTCTTCCACGGTGGGAGGTATATGATTCACCTATTAATCCAGACTCCTGTTGATGGGCATTTAGGTTATTTCCAGTTCCTTGTTTCCATATGTATCCTGCAGTGAATACCCTGCAGCTCTGTGGGTGCTATGACTGTAGGATAAGTCCTTGGGAAATGAATCAGGTTAAAGGTTATGTGCATTTTGAAAGTTGGTAATTTGTGCCAATTTATACCAGTGGTGTGAAGAGTTTTACTTTGTGGGCTTAAAAGTACTCTGTTCACCTAGAGATGGAAAGGACTTAAAAAAAAAGAAAAAAAGCCAAGGAAGGTGGTTTGGAAAGTCATACAGAGAGTGGAGTTAGAGCTATGGTTTAATATCAGGGTATCACCAGCTACGCACTTTATCTTATTTACTTATTTTTCGCCCTGCTGTGTGGCATGAGGGATCTTAGTTCCCCTACCAGGGATTGAACCCATGCCCCCTGCAGTGGAAGCGTGGAGTCTTAACCACTGGACCGCCAGGGAAGTCCCACTATCAACCCACTTTAGCTGCCAATCTCGTTGGGATTTTGTTGTCGTTGTTTTCTTCAGCGATGATGTCATCTCGCTTCCTATGTTTACATAACACTTTGAATCAAAGAGCTTCACTCTTACAGTCATCAAAGTGGATCTGGTAACACAGAGGAAAATCATTTCTGGCCCCCGTGTCCTTCGATGAGGCTGCATAGAGCAGCTCCCTGAGTAGTTTGGAATACTCGAAGCATCTCCTTCGTGTGTGTGTGCCTTGCTCACAGTTTCGAAGTGCATTTGTGTTATTTATTCCTCATGACTTTCTGATAAAGGAACAGGGATAGCATTATATGGAGAAATCAATTTGGATTCAGAAATATGGATCCTGAATTTTTCTATTTAAAGCTGCCTTAGCTAGTTAGGTCACTATTGAGAAGGGGGCCTTCTAAATGGAAAAAAATCAATCTTGTTAATTTTAACTGACTGGACTATAAATGTAAGAATCAGTTGTTTGAGGCTGAAAAGTTGGGCTTTTTAAAAAAGGAGGTTATTCATGAAAGAACTGGGCATGAAGTGAGAATTCTTCAGTCAGTTTATGTATTGAATAATCAGAAATTCTGTAATTCAGAATAGTGATCTTTAAACGATTCTGAAAAGGTCTAGATCCATGATCTCATGTGGAAAACAAACCTTTTATGACTAAAATATTTATAAACAACTGACTTAGAAGCATATGTTTCTCTGTGCTCACAAATATCTATGCCATTGTATTAACAATCTGCTGCCAGTGATGTGTTCTTAAATAAAACCTAATTCCTAATAACCAGATAATGGTGATTTTAATTTGGTTCATATAAATCTAGACACATCTTTTAGTGTTAAAGTAATTTTACAATCTGTCACTAATGTGCTCTAATGTTTTTTTAACAGCTTTATTGAGATATAATTGACATACTATACAATTCATTTGAAATGTATAATCCATTGTTTTTTAGTAAGTTCACAAGGTTGTGCAGCCATCACATTCTAATTTTTAAACATTTTTAGTCCAACCCCCCCCCCCCGCAAAAAACAAAAAACAAAAAACAAAACAACCCTATACTCATTGGCAGTTGCTTCCCATTTCCCCCTTCATGGAACCTCTGACAACCACCAGTCTGCTTTCTACCTCCATGAATTTGCTATCCTGGACGTTTCCTATAAATGAATGATACCACGTATGACCTTTTGTGTCTAGCTTCTTTCATAGGGCGTAATGTTTTTGAGATTCATTCATCTTGTAGTATTTATCAGTACTTCATTTTTTTAATTGCTGAATAATATTCTGTTGTGTGGTTATCACGTCTTGTTTCTGTATTAATCCATCAATGGACATTTAGGTTGTTTCCATTTTTTGGCTATCATAAATAATGCTGCTGTGAACATCTGTGCACAAATTTTGTGGCTACATAATGTTTTCAGTTCTCTTGGGTGTGTAGACCTAGTAGTGGAATTGCTGGGTCATCTGGTAACTCTGTGTTTAACTTTATGGGGAACGACCAAACTGGATTCCAAAATGGCTGCACCATTTGCTTTCCCACCAGCAGCGTATGAGGACCTTCATTTCTCCACATCTTTACCAACATGCATTTTCCATATTTTTGAGTCTGGATAACCCAGCGAGCGTCAACTAGTATCTCACTGTGGTGTTTATTTGCATTTCCCTAGTGATGAGTGACGTTGAGCATCTTTTCCTGTGCTTCTCGGCCATTTATTTATCTTCTTTGGAGAGATGTCTTTTCAGATATTTTGCCCATTTTTTAATTGGGTTGTCTTTTTCCTATTGCTTCAAAAGAGTTCTTCCTATATTCTTGTTCTTTCTGTATTCTGTTCTTCCTATAGTTCTTCCTGTGTTCTCTAAGCTCCTTGTCAGAGGGATGATTTGCGAACACTTTTCCTTTTCTGTGGGGCATCTTTTCACCTTCTTGATGGTATAATTTGCAGCACTTTAATGATTTTTTTGAAAAAATTTTCCTCCAGAATTCAGCCGACGTCTTAAGGAGCGCATGCACCACAACATTCCTCACCGGTTCAATGTAGGACTGAACATGCGAGCCACGCAGTGCGCTGTGTGTCTGGATACCGTGCACTTTGGGCGCCAGGCATCCAAGTGTCTTGGTAAGAGCAGCTGCTGTGCGTGGGGGGAGGGTGCCTGTGCATCTCCACCTAAGATTCTGTCCGATGGGGGCGGGTTTTTTTTTCCTTTTTAAATTCCTCATCATGTAGTGCATTCATTTTCAAGCTTTTAGTCTTAGTGGGAGGACACTATTTCCGTCCCCCCCCGCCCCCCCCCCCGTTCA